TACCGATAATAAGAAACTTAGATATTATCACAGATGAAAAAACAATTGGCAGTTTTATGTATAATTACATGAAATCAAACAATCTACCAGTTGACCAGAAACAGAGGAAATTAACTCATTAGCATCAACACACAACCAATATCAACCATTTTCTTCTTATTATCTTTGGTATCTAATAGACAGATTTCATTTTATCATCGATGATATTCAATCAATTTTAACATTTACGAAAAATACTTGTTTTAATGAATTTGCGAACAAATTTATGAACGAAAGACAAAAGGCTGAATTAGAAGGAAATAAAGGAAAAAGTTTATTTTGCAAAATTTCACTTAATGGATCATATGGTTACGATGCAATGAATACACAAAATTACGCAAAGACTAAAATAATGAATGCACAGAAGGCACGCGTTGCATGTATGTCAAATAAGTTTAAAAACATAAGAGAAATAGGTGAAGATACATATCAAGTGATGCTCAAAGATAGATTTTATAGATGTGAAACATGTTTACAAGAGGCATTTTACTTTAGATAACGCAAAATACTGGTATTTAGTTTTCATTTATGATTTTATGTATAAATGCATGGATGTTAATCGTTTTCATTTCATTGAAGGTGATACTGATTCATCTTATTGGGCAATCGCTGGCGACCCAAATCTTCCTAACACTCAAGCATTTCAAGCAATTGTTACCGATAAACAATTTTATGATAAAAACATTTTCAAATTCGCACCATTTGATTTCTTCTGTTTTGATGAGAAATTTAAACCTAAATTAAAGAATAAAGCTGAAGAAAAAGCACATGAGAAAAAATTATTGGGTTTAGCAATTGAGAAACAAGGTGATAACATGGTTGCTTTATGTCCTAATGTTATACATCATTCAACGGAATGATTGGTGAAGACTCCTTCAAAAAGATTGCACAAAAAATGAAAGGTTTAGTTTACGACAAAATAAACAATTAACACCTAAAAATTATTTGGATATAATAAATGATAAAGATATTTGATGGTCAGAATATTAATTTACAACTTAAAAATGGGTCAATGACTCGCTTAACAATCGGTAAGACTGCATTAACAGGAGCACACACTAAAGCTGTATGTTGTGAAAATGGATGTTGTATGCCATTTATTTAATGAATGCCACAGAAGAGACAAAGAGGTGGCACCCTAAAACATTTATTTTATTTTTATATAAATGATACACAGATTTAAAAATTTTAATTGATGATTTAGTATTTAATCAAAATTTTCTTATTATTATGAATTAAAATCATATCTCCAAAAACATAATAAAAATATAACGGGTGATGATATGGAATATATTATCATATTATAAAAATGAAATTTTGAAATATCATGATAAAATAATTTCTGAAATTAAGACAAAATTAAAAATAATGAATATACAAAGGGAAAAAGTAAATCACAACTTAAACAGTTGAAAGATTTCAAAAATAAAGTATTAACAGAAGAAGATATTGATGAATTATATAAATTATATAATCCTGAGCCGCAAAAGCCAAAGCCAAAGGAACAAAAACAAAAGGTGCAAAACGCAGGTCCTTCAGACCATAAATGAAGCACAAGCTTTAATTTATGATTCATTAGTTAAACCATATTCACCCGACTTTTAAATGAAGATCAACTTTTGGAATTCATCCTTCAACATAAACTCGAAGCGGGAAAGTATATCAAACCTTTATATACAGCATATTTAAAACAAATGAATAGAATACATCCAGAATTAATGAAGGAGGAATGAAATCCAAAATCAAAGCAGATAAAATTAAACCACTTGCAACACCAAAACCTCCTTCAGTTAATCCTTCATCATTCACTTTATTATATCCATTTCAAACATTAAAGAAGCAAAAAGATTTTAAAAAGGATTTCAAGATATTAAATAAACCAATTGACCCGAAAATTCAACCATTAAAAGAAAAATTTAGTCGCCCTTCATTTGCTCCTTCACCCTATTCATACGAAATCGATCATCTGGAATATTCAAAAGGAAATATTACTTATTTATTTGCCATTAACATTAACACTAGATATTTATATTGCATTCCGGTGAAAGGGAAAACAGAACAGGAAACAAGAAGAGCTATACAATACTTACTAGATCATGAAAGAGTAGATAATATCAGGGGTGATGGTGATAAAGGATTTCAGGCGGCTATGACTCATTATTTCCCACAAATTAATTTTTACTTTTCATCCTCTCCATATACGTTTCATAATAAAATAGTTGATGCGGTAATGAGAACTCTTAGAGATGTGTTAGGGGTTAACGGTCAGATATACTGGGATGGAAATCATGACTCCATCATACAGCAGTTAGTATATTATTACAATAATACATGGCATAGAACTATTAACATGAAACCGATGGAAATGAAAAATGATATTTCAAAAGAATGGGAATATATTAGAAAGCAAATGGAAAGGTTGAATGATGTTAAACGTGAACAAATTAATTCGGGGCTCATGAATTTTAAACAAGGGGATAAAGTTTTGATTCATCTCGATTATGGAAAAACTAATAAATCAATGACAAAAAGAAGACGAAGATTTGACACAATAGCTGAATTTGTTAGATATATTAACGGCAATGCATTAGTTGAGGTTAACAAGAAATTAATAGAAATTCCGATTTATTTTATTACTCCATTATATTTAAATAATATTTAAATTTTTTTATTTCGTAAGAAATGAGTGATAACAAAGCAGCCAAGAGTCCAGACAATGAATATAAAAAGAAACTAAACAGAATTAAATCAAAAATATGCTATTACAAAAAGAAGCCACAATGCGGGGGTTGAAAACGATAAAGAAATAATCGAAAAATTAGAAACTTACCGTTCAATCCTTAAACTAGGTGAAGCAAAAATAAAAGAATTTAATAGAATAAATAAATTGATTGGAAGAGATGAATTTAATAAAGATGAATTTTTAAACTCTATCCAAATTTAATTTTTATTCCTCTTCGACAACATCTCTCTTTCCATCATTACTGCATAACCACATTTTCTCAGTTTTAGTGGTTTGTTATTTTTAACATGTTCTTGCATCATTTTTATCATTTCCTCCCTTGTTATGATTCGTGGTAAATTTTGAGCTTGTGGGGTATTCATTTATATAAAAATAAAAATTTGTTATCAGTTATTTTATCGTTAAGTGACTCAAAGAGTCCGGAGACAAAGTCTCATGGTTTTTAGGTTCATCTTTAGTTAATTATTTTTGAATAACTGAAGGTGTCACTATGTCACCATGTGTCACTCGGTTATTTAACTTCTCTGAAAATTTGAGACAACAGTCACTGTGTGACGAGACCTGAAGGTCTTGACATTTTGACAACAACATAGGTTATTCGATAATTAATTATTTTTGAAGAACTGAGGGTGTCACTATGTCACCATGTGTCACTCGGTTATTTAACTTCTCTGAAAAAATGAGACAACATGACATTTTGACAACATTTACGAAAATTTGAGACAACAGTCACTGTGTGACGAGACCTGAAGGTCTTGACATTTTGACAACACGGGGGGATTAATGAGGAAGGCACTTATGAAGCATTTTTGAATAACTGAAGGTGTCACTATGTCACCATGTGTCACTCGGTTATTTAACTTCTCTGAAAAAATGAGACAACATGACATTTTGACAACACGGGGGGATTAATGAGGAAGGCAAAAATAAATTCCAATCATACTTTATAAAGCTAGACCTTCAGGTCTCACCGCTTAGCGGCTCATTTACAGGTATTTCATCATCAGTAAAATGAATCCTCATCATCGTTTGGTTCAACCTGTTTATATAATCCTTTCATTTCTTCTTTCAAAACATAACACCATGTTTGTTTACCATCTATTCTTCTCTGTTTCTTATCACATTTATCTTTAATGCTCATTTGAAAGTTTTTGTCTTTCATGTCTGATGGTTTGCAGAATAGAGCATTTTTACATGTCATACCTGCACACAATTCATCATAATGTGTATTTATCCATACATCTAAAGGATTTGTTGATAATTCTATTAAATCTTGTTTGGCTTCAGTCATCGGAATGATTCGTACATTAAATGATGAAAGGTCATATTGCATAAAATACGTCAGTAAATTATCATAAAATTCCTTTGTGCATGAATCCATTAAATTCTTGAAGTAATCAAATTGACCCTTAAATTTACCATTAACCCTTAAAACTACGTATCTTCTGTCTCCAACTTCAATTTTGACAGGGTAGACGTTATTAGTTACGAAAATAAAATTGGCAACATTCTGTGCTGTTCTTCTAGGTTGATTCTTTTCATTAATTCTAATCTCATTATCCGTTATAATTGATTTCAAAGCGTTGAAGTTTGCGAGTCTATCTTCACCTACATTCTTGAGTTCATTAAGTACAAGAAACATTTTATTCTCAACTACTGAGTTGAAATTACCCGTTAGCTCACCTATTTCAGTAATGTTTTTGATTGAATAACCAGCGAGAAGTTCAGAAATAATGTCTGTGAATCTGTTTTTACCTGTTCCCTGAAGTCCTTTCAAAATAATTGCTGTTTCATTCTTGATTCCAGGATGTTGAATCATTGATGCAATCCAGCCGAGAAGGTATTTATACACTTCATCGTTATTATCACAAATGGCTTCTTTAATGAAATCCATAAACATCTCAATTTTTGAGTAATCAGGCTTTTCAAGAATGTTGTATTTATAACCTTGAAACGTTGAGAAAACATCAGGGGAATCAGATTTAAAGCAAACACCCTTAACGGTTAATGAAGACAATTGATTTAATAGTACGTCCCATGCTGTTATGGTTTTACCTTCTTCTTTAAATAATTTAATCATTTTGAGTGACTCTTTCATGTTTGACTGAAGAACGAATGATATTTGATTCATTTTGTCGTGGATATTATAGTCCTTTTGAATGAAATATTTGTTTCCACAATCTACAAAACGGATTACACGTGATAAATCCTCAATTACTTCAGAACTGTTTTTATACTGATGATTTTCAGCCTTACGTCTAATATCTGTTATCAAAAACGAGTCATCAAGTTTTATATCAAATGTTATTTTTGGCTTACGTAATAAAGGTAAAACGTATTCATCATAATATTCCTTTTGATAAAGTTTCAGAATCTTCACTAAAACAAATGGAGAAGTCATTAAATGTGCATATCTACTACGTGCTTTTTCAAAATTACTTTTTGCATTTTCTGTTAAACTGCAGAAGTTATAAACGTTGTCGTATGCTTCATTAATTAAATGATTAGGTAACGAATTAATTGCTTGAAACAGTGTGAATAATGTTATTTCTTTTTCTAAATTCATGTTTCCACCGTCATTATGTACTTCAAAATCACTAATACCATCAACTATGCTCTGGGCAAGTTTATCGTCAATGTTTACATCTTTGTTTTCATTCATGATAGTCTTTATTTCTTCGTTCTTCTGTTCAACTCTTACCTTAATATTCAAATCATTTAATATATCATTCACTGTTCTGGTTATGGTCGAGTCATAACTTCCACGAATGAATGAGTATGTATTGATTGGTTCTGTTGCATTCTTGCGAACTCTTGAATCAGCCATAACTACTAAAGAACGCTTTGAATCATCCATAGAAGTCATGATATCAATATCATAATCATTGCAAGAATAACATTTAATCATTCTGTTCGAGGTTGAATAGAAGAAATTAGTGTTACAATAAATGTGAAGACCTCCTGAAGCGGTTTTAACGATAACATCTTTATCCGAAAGTTTTGATAAAATGTCTTTTCTAACTGTTTCTTTAAGTTCATCATTGTACGATTTATTGATATCAACATCTATAATCGTTAAATTTGAAATTTTATTTACTAATAAAGCCATACCAGTTTTCCTTCCTCTTCCTCCATCGTGTTTGAGATAGTTATGTAAATCAATCTTGTTTTCACCAATTCTTTCGTTGAGGGTTTTAGTTTCTGCCACAACTAATTCCTCAGCTAATGAATCAATAACTTTTTCATCAGAAACGATATAGTTGCTGTTGTTGTTTGTTGCTGTCATTTATATAGGAATAAAAAAAATAAAAATAATTTTAAAACTAACTTTATTTTTGGACTGCATCATATTTCCAGTGATGTTGTCAAAATGTCATGTTGTCTCATTTTTTCAGAGAAGTTAAATAACCGAGTGACACATGGTGACATAGTGACACCCTCAGTTCTTCAAAAATAATTAATTATTGAATAACTGGGAAATAAATTTACGTCAAATATGTAATTTATAATATCTTATGTCGACAGGCTACGTAGCACAGTGGTCTAAGGTGGTGTTATGGGGGGGTCAGGGTCTGTGGTTCGAACCGCGACAGCGCTGTATTTTCTGATTTTCTTTGTTTGTCTTGTTTGTCGTGAATAAAAAGTGTCACAAAGGTGCTCTATCTTCCACGGGAATAAATAAAAATTTACTTTATTTCTTCTTTATTTCTTTGTTCCCGTGGAAGAAGGGTTTTGCTGTTTTTTCTCAGCTGAAATCAATGATTTTTTCATTTTTGGAATCCTTAGCGAATGAGGAATCTTTTCTCTCGTGGAAGCTTTGACCAAAAATAATGTTGAGGTGAAGAGGTGAGATCTCACCCGTTTTTTCACCTGTTTTTATGGTAGCACTGAAATAAAATTTTGTTATCAGTTATTTTATCATCATTTTATTAAGTTCATCTTTAGTTAATAATTTGAATGGATTCGCTAATGTTCCACCTTGAGTCACAACACTTGCCCCGGCTAATTGTGAAGAACCTGGGATAAGTACTCCATGAAATGATTTCATTGGTAACATTAATTTAGAAATAGTTGGCTTAATTAATTTTGTCATTTATGATAAAAATAAAATTACATAATTTAAATTTTTTCTTTCTCATTTTCTCATCCTGTTTTGGTTTCAGCAACTTTTCAAGTTGTTGTCTTGTCAGTAACTTGAATTTTAACTTTGGATCAAATATTGGGTTTCCATCTTTATCTCTTCCAATAACACCATATGGTAGAATCTTCATTTATACTAAAATAAAAATTTAAAATTATGCTGTTCGCTCTTTTGGAGCTCAGGACTTTCAGTCCGTTCTAAAGTTTGTTTCACAAACATTGAGCGTTCATTGAACTCTATACCATGCGTAAACTGTCATGTAAGGTGGCATGTATTCTTTACTTTGTCCCGTTGTTTGTGTATATCCTGAAACGAAATGTGTATGGTTTCCTTCTCCCTGAGTGTCACTCCAGTAACAATTTATAGCAAACTTAACGTCGTCTTTAACATCATATCCTTTACCTTTTGTCATTCCTGACCAATCCCAATATCTATGCTTATGCCAACCTGCTTGAGATGTACTTAAATCTATGTAGTGACTGTGTGCAGGTAAATTTTCACCTGAAATCGTTTTACTTCCACCTGTTTCCTTTGAAGAGTTTGCACAATACAAAAACCTGTCGACTATTTGTTCCCATGCACCAACACCAAACATTACTTGAGGACCTCTTGCTTCCATAGATGTATAAATAGAACCTACTGGGTTCATTAAATCAAACATATGAGATATTATAGGATTGTCTCTTTTGAACTTAAAATATAGTGCAACTATTTCAGGTTTCTTCTGGTTTGTGTCAGAATATTTTTTATAATATAATCTTATGTTTTCAGGGTAGGTAAAATCTTGACTATAATATTTATTTCTGTCATCTGTATAATAATATACTATTCTCGTTTTTTCTATTGCATTATATCTTTTATATCTATAATAATCTAAATATAATGTTAGCTTTTGTTCATCTACATGTGGTGTTCTGTCGTCATCTCCATAGTCATAATAATATGGTGCTGGAGCTGGGTCAGGCAATGTCATATCTGCCATTTCATAAACTCTTAAATATTTCTTTTGTTCGTCTCCATATAAGTTTAAGTAGCAGTTGTTGTCTAATGGAGCTTTAACTTGTGTACCATCATTCTTTTTATAGCTTACATACATTTCATTGTTATTTTTCGGAATGAGTTTATACCGTATACCATTTTTTAAGGAGTGTACAAACTCCCATCTAAAATATTTGTTTTCTTCATTGACAGTAAAGTCACCAACAATAGTTTCAATATTTTTTGTTGTTCCTATCAAACTTTGGTATATTTCGTTAACATATTCCTTATCTGCTTTCTTCATTAACTCATCGTTAACATATGTTTTATCTGCTTTCTTCATTAACTCATCGTTAACATAAGTTTTATCTACTTTCTTCATTAACTCATCGTTAACATATGTTTTATCTGCTTTCTTCATTAACTCATCGTTAACATATGTTTTATCTGCTTTCTTCATTAACTCATCGTTAACATAAGTTTTATCTGCTTTCTTCATTAACTCATCGTTAACATATGTTTTATCCGCTTTAAGGTCTAAACATCCTGAAACCCATCCTGTATCGGCTTTAGTTTTTAAAATCTTTGATGTCCATTCATGATACCATTCAACTCTTTCTTTAATTTCATTATCTTTTTCGTCAACATATTCCTTATCCGCTTTCTTCACTAACGCAGCAGCAACACATTCCTTATCTGCTTTCTTCATTATGTCATTTAGGAAACCTTTTATGAATTCCTCATTTAAATTAAATCTTCCAATCTTCAAAACTTTAGGAAATGCATTTAATGCGTAATATCTCTGTTCTTCTGGTGGAATTGATGTTATATCATCCGTTATTCCTTTAATTTTTGAATTCATAAATAAAATTTCTTTTATATTTGATATCACCGCACCACCTTTGCAAACGAATTCGAAATGGTCATTTTTCAATACTATCTCCAAATCTCCATATTTCAACCTTTGTGTTTGTTCTGCCGTCTTTGAATTATATGCATATGTGGCGTATGTAATGGTTTGTGCCTTAAGTTGTTGTGGTTGCTGTTGTTTAATCATTTATTATGATTTAAAAATAAATATTTAATCCGTTATCTCATCAGCTATTTTCTCTATTTGAAAAGTCCATAATATTTCATTCATAAATTCTAAATCACAATCAAATAGGTCAGTTATTCTAAATTTAATATTTGATAAATCTTTTGAATGAAGAATAAATGAATTCCCGGATAATTGAAATGGATAAGATAAAGAAAATATGTTTAAGTTGATGGATAAAATGTTTGTATTGATGGGTAAGAGTTAGGGTCTAATGTTTTGATGTGAAAATCTCATTGGGGTATTAACTTTATCACATTTGATTAAAATGAAATTGGACCCAATGTCAGAATACAAAACATCCCCAACATCTTTTTCAAAATTTAATATCCCCAACAATGAACGAAGACGAGGAGTACAAAATTTAATTTTCAGCGGAAATTTAATAAGGTTATTTATTTCATCAAGTTCAAAAAGTTTATCAGGTTTTTGATTAAAATTTTCTTCATACCATACGATAAATGATTCATTTAAATAACTTAAAATCATGTTAATATCCCATTTCACTATCACATTATTTATATACATATCATATGTTTTTAGGTCTACGACCCCGCCGCTATGCGGCTCAAGGTCATCTTTAATAAATGATATATAATCCGAAGGTCTAAAAGAATGGGATTAAATTTACCACTCACAGAAACGAGAGTAACATTATAAATTCCGCTAACTGTTAAATTTAATTCACAGTTATTATTCGAATAATATTGATAATTGACATTTTTATTACGATTAAAAATATGGTAAAGCGTTATTTTCCAGTGATAAATAAAACTAGAATAAGATTACCTCAAGAATTCATAAATTCAAACGAATAAGAAATTCATTCATGTTATAAATTTTTAGTGTTTTCAGAAAATATGAGTCGATGTCATATTCATCAACAGGTTATATTTCACTTCATTCAAATTTGGTTCAATCAAACCCATATTAATGACCATTTCATAAGATTTTTCAGATGGATTAAAAATGTAATTGATAGATTAAAATATGAACAGATTGACAATATCGAATTTTTTGGAATTTTGGTTTAAATATCCTGATGGAAAAAAAGATTGAAGTTAAAGATAAAGCAGATACTATAACAAAAACAATTACAATGACTGATCCGGATAGTGGGGAACAAAAGAAATAAAAACAAACGATAGAAACTGGTGAAAGGTCAATTATTATTGATTATGATTCAAAGGATTATTATTCGATAATGTTAATGCTTGAATATTAAATAGCCTTAACAAAGAATTTTCAAGTGATATTTTATATTCATCAACTATTTTATTATAAATATCATTATATGTTAAATGAAGTTCAGTTGTTGTTCCGTTCTTTGATATCTTAATTGTGCTAATATCCTTTATAGGATTTATTTTTGCAACTGTTCCGCAGCATGAAACCTCATCATCTATGAAATATTGAATCTTCACGTCTGAATCTTGAACATCACAAAGAATGGCAATAATGTGAATTAATGATTCATAAGGTAAAATAATTAAACCGGATTGGTCAATTAAATTTATTATTGAATCATAATTATCAGTTATGATATCGCGATATATTTTCATTAATTCTGAATTAATGTCTACTTTATATGGCGCATTGCGACTGTAATCGTAGATTCCTGGGTTCTCGATGTTTGATGAAAGAGGTGGGGGGTATGTTGGATAAGTGGGAATTTCAACAGGTTCTTTACCGGGTTCAGATAAAATGATTGGGTCTCCATCTTCTTTATTTTGCTCCTCTTCTTTCTTTGGTAAGTCACGAGTTAATAAATTTGGTTGAGTTGCTGACCTTGTTAATTCAGGACTAACATTAACTTTAACATTTTGAATAATTCGTGATTTATCATCATTTACGTTATAACCAACCGTAATCTCTGCTTTTGCGTTAGTGTTCTTTTGACTAGTGAAACGTCTTCTCATTTATAATTGAATAAAAAAAGAAAAATATATTTAAAGTTTTATTTAGTTGTTACGGTAATATCCCAAGGTTCATCATTGTTTGCTTATACTTTCTTTGTAACTGCACCAATTATGTTATTGATATTGATTTGAGTTTCTTCCAGTCTTATTTTATCATTTACAATATCTTTAATCATTTCATTACATGCATTCTTAAAACCATCTGATTTTTCTAATTTACGTCTATCACTTTCTTTAATTAAATCAAAGTTATATCCTTGTTGAGAATAAAGTGGTTTCTTTATCAATTCCTTGAACGCTTCTGAAAGTGAAGATGAAGAAATTCTTGCCACTTGAATTGGTTTAAATTCTGCTTTCATTGCTTCTTTCTGTTCATTGAACACTGGATCGAATAAAGCAACTTTAAAGAATTTCTTAGCTGGAATTTCAGGTCTCAAATTTGCATATTGACCATCAAACTGGTTAACATATTGAGGTAATCCGTTTGGTCCTTCTTCAATAGCATTTAATTCTTCATTGAAATAAGAATATGGATTATGACGGTATGAAAGAATTGGTCCATCTTTACTGTCTCCGATATGTTGTTTAACAGCTTTTCCATTTTCATCAAATTGCATAGGATAACGTTCATTATATGCTTTACGTTTAGGATAATCCGTCATTGTTAATTTATACCCATTTATGACTTTAATATTTCCTTGACCATCAGTAACAAAGACTTCATTTATACCATCAGGTTTTCCATTTGGACCCGTAATGTCTGCTTCGTGTGCTTCCCAATTTGGACCATGACGTTTGGCATATGCTTGAGCTTCTGGTAATGTTAAAACGTTTCTCATTTGTTTAACATCCTTTTGAAGACCGGCAACAATGTGGACTAATTCTTTCATTCCGTCTGGAACTTTCATAGTTCTATTATATGCACCCTTTTTGTTTGTTCCTTGTTTTAATGGAACCTGTAGAAGATTTGCAATTTCTGTCATGTTTAATTATAAATAAAAAATAAAAATTAATTATAAAAAGTTATTCGAATTTAATGGAACCTTTATTTAAATCAACTATTATTTTTCCATGTTCTCCTAATTGTTGATATTGTGTGTAAAGTTCATTAATGCTCATTGGTAAATTCACTTGATAAAGCATAACGTTCAACTGTTGACGACTAAACCCACTGAAAATGAAAAGGGTGGACAGGTTTGATTTAATGTTTGTGCTTAATGCTTTAAAGTATTGAACAGCCATGAAGAATGAACACTGAATATGTCGACATTGAGTTAATAATTGATTAAAATATGATTTCTCATTAGTTATTAGTTTTGATTTCACGGCATCATCTAGAAAAATTAGTGAATGCAAAAATTCTTTATCAAAATTTGAAATAGAAAGTGTTTCAAATAATTCATCCCGTTGTTTATCAATAATTTTATCCTCTAATCCTTGCTTCTTGATTGTATTATATAATTCTTTATACATTAAAAAGTTTTTCAAATAATCTTCCGCTTCTTCTTGTGATAAATAAATAATTGGAATTTTGATTAAATGCTTTAATGATTCAAATGTATCATCTGAAGGTGAACCTGAACGGTTGATATAAATTAACACATGTGAATAGGGGGAAGTGTTAGCAATAATGATAATTTGTTTTAATATCGTTAATGTTTTACCTTTATTTTGTTTACCAATTGCTGCAGTGATTGAATTTAAGTAACATTCAGAATATGGAATTTTCATTAATTTTTCCTTAGATAGAGCATTTTTATTATCACCCAATGCTTCATTAATCATATCATCTATGTATGTATTATATACTCCTGCTAATTCTTCAGAATTTAAATCCATTTAATCAAAAATAAATTTATAATTTTAAACATTTCTATTAATCAATATTTCATCATATGAACTTCTATACTGTGGTGGTGTACCTGTTGAATGATATTTCAAACCTTCATCCGGTGTCCATGTCCAATACGTAGTCCTAGTAAACCAAACCTGAGGAGGATTTGTCACCTTTGAACAGTAAGTGTCATTTACACCCTGAATGATTGGATAAGCTTTCACTTGTACTGTAACTTGTGAGTTGAAAGTTTCTAATCCATCAAAGAATATACCCGCTCCATCACGTTGAACTGGAATAGTGCATAAGAATGAAGTTTGGTCTTTCCATGTTCTAGCTAATGGCGTGCCATCATCTGCATTCAGTGGTCTAGTTAATGAGTCCTCGTATTCTTCCGTGCATTCATTCACTCCATCTAAATCAGAAGCTTGAAGCATACGTGTAAAGAATATGTCGCCCACTGTGGTCATCGCTTGATCGGGGAAGTTTCTGGAATCTATAGTGACCTGAAGACCTCGAAGCATTGGATTTTCTAAAACTGTTCTTTGCATTGCATTCTTCGGAAATGTTAACACAAATCCGTAACATTATGAGAGCGTATGAGAAATCAGAGCTGATACCTTCAGGAGTGATGCAACCTCCATTTAGTGAGCGAACGTCAATATGTTGAGCTGGAATCATGAATGGATCTTCCTTACTGAATAAACGTGGTATTGCTTTAACTGATTCTTCAATTAAACCATATCCTGGTGTAATACATTTATCCTCTAAAACTTCCATCTTTGTGCATGAAATAATAACGTCTTCAACTGTTGCGTCAGCAGATGTAGCGGCTAAGCTTGTAATTAATTTGGCAGGAAGTCCGATTTGTTGGAATTTGCGATCATATTTATAAACATGATTCATAATCTTTTCATAATTTTCATCAGTTATCTTTTCATAAACGTAATTTTGTAAATCAGCAACTCTTAACGGGTCAACCTGACAAAATACTAAAGTATCCCTGAAAACATAATATTTAAGAATGATTTCACCAAATGATTTAGGATAATCGTCGAACGCCTGAAATGCTAACAAATCATTTACTGGAATAATCATATCAAAAGTGATATCAACTTCTTCATTTGCTTTCTTGAAAACTTCTGAAGGGTCAATATATTTACCACATACTGAGTTATCATATTTTTGAACATTGTTATATAATGAAT